ACCTTGTACAGGGATCTCTCAGCGTTCGAACATCGCACCTCATGAGTTGCGGCCGTAGTCTCCAATTCGCAATAAGCGGCATAGTGGGCACTAGCAATGGCATTATTGCATCTCGTGGACTTCTTTTGTTCCTGCTCAAACAAGTCCAGAGTTTTCATGAATGTGGCGTGTACCAAAGCTTGGCAGGGCAAGAACCTAACACCTTTCAGGACGTTGTTGTAACTCTCGGATACGTTGGTTGTCAAAGTACCCCATCTACGTCCTCCGTCTCCAAACAGGGTCCACTTGTCCAGAGGAATTCTGAACAGGTAATCGTATGCGACCGGATTAAAATTCGAAAGCCGCGATCGTATCTGTTCAAATTTTTTCTCTGAAACCTGTGAACCCAACTCCCAACACCAATTTCGGATTTTGTTATTTCTGAACCTAGTAACCACGTTGCTCCGAAGGTGTCAAAGACAAATCCGGTGATATGCAGCGGGTTCTTGCCAAGCTTCAAATGATTCCACGGCACTCTATAAGCCAGCATCCCTGTCCGAAAGAAAGCATATCTGTCTGTTGCCGACAACATGTTGCCGGAGATTTGTCAGGAAAAATGACCAGTTTTCCTGGCTCTCTTCATTCACAATCGCGTAGGCGATTGGCAATAGCCGCTTATTCGTAGTCTGTGCAACGGCCACGAGCAACTTCTCCTTGTACGAGCCACGCAAATGTGTGCCGTCCATGCTAATTACCGGCGGGCATCTCTGAAAGGTCTGAATGGCGGGACCAAACACCCAGAAAACAAATTTGAATTCTCTGTGCTGATAGTAGGCCGCCATTTCCCCACTTTGCCATTCCCACTCTACAACCGTAGTGGGATTCGCTCTTTGAAGCGCCGCAAAAAACCTGCACGTTACAAAACGTAATCGTCAATACATAAACATAGTGACAAATAACACGTACATTTTTAATAAATTTTTTCTTATTGAGGGAGTTGTGCGAAGTTCGATTCCCAAGTGTCATACAAACGATCGATGGCCTTTTTCCTCCCGTGCCATGCCTTCTTGTAGCTCACATCGACTTTCCAACATTTTTTAACATCCTCCTGGATCAGGGTAACACTTAGTTGGGTTTCAATTGAATCTTGGTCATGACAAGATTTGAGATCATTGTGGCGGTTACATTTCTGTGGTCATTTTTTTCGGCTTTTTGCATATAACTGTGCCTCTCAGTCCATTCCGTTACTTCCCACAGTTCATGAACCCGTGTGCAGTGCGTCACCTGAGCCCTCCACGGACAAGGTTCATCTTCGTTAGACGTGCACACCACCTTGAATGATTTCTTATTCGAATAGGATGTCTTAACCTCCCTCAACCTGCTAACGTTCCAACTCATGATACCCATCTGTGCTTCTTCCTTGGACCGGAAAACAGTACCCAAACGGATAGTCCCGACATGCCCATCCCAGGTTGGCAAGGCATACTCATCCTGGTCTACACACGCCGGGTCCTACTCACCCATCTCGCGATACACGTGCTGACCGCTACTAGGAAATGGGTGTTCTTCAATAAATTATGGTTCACTCTCCTCGTTTATTGATCTATCCGATTCCGTTTCTGAGGTACCATCTGTGAAATCGTCTTCACCGCGAATTAAATCATGATCACTTTCTTCCTCATTACCGCATTCTCTAACTGTTGAGCTTGTCCCTTCACCAAAATTACGAACATGCGAAGTGGACGTACCCTCAACATCAGCCACTCCACCGTAAAAAGGGGCAACATCCTCAAACTGCGTAACCTCTGTAGGTGCCTGCGTAACCTGCTTCAACTCTAAATGCAAATACACATAGGAGAAAGGAGGGGAATAATATATCCAGTCAAGAGCACTATCAGTATTCAGGTTTTCAATATTCCACGAACCATCGCGTTGGTTACTCAGTAAACTAATCTTCTCAATTATCCAACCATCTCGACGAAACCCAAAATTTTCATAAAGAATATCTACCAATTCTTTAAATGATATCTTCTCCCCAATGCTATATGAACCATTCGGAGAGTTTTTAAAATCTGAAAAATCATATAACAACTCCTTGGGAAGATTCCAATACACATTAACAAAGTATGGTCCGGTAGACGCCATTTATACCTGTTGCAAAAAACAATTCTTCCCAATTACAACAACACATACTTTCTAACCCAACACCTAAAAAATTTAATTATTCTTTCATCATTCCCACAACAAAAGAATAAAATTCATCAATAACATATAATACACTTTCAATTCTTCCCAATTACAACAACACATAATTTCCCAAAAAATTTAATTATTCTTTTACTCAAATCAAGATAAATATTTCCAATTAATACTATAATAACAAAAAAAAAAATCGCCGATTCTTTTATAAAATAACTCTCCAAAACCCTAATTCTCATAATCCAACAATACAATACAAATCGTCCAATTTTTGCAAAAATTCTCAACATACACCGAAACCCATCATCCAAGAACAATGTATAATCATTTAACACAACTATTAAATCAACAATAAATCTTTTCTAAACTATACTCATCAAACCAACAAATATTTCTTACACATTCATAAACAACAAAAACAATGTAATTACATTACATTATAATAACAACTAACCTCTTCTCCGAATCGATTGATTGTTAAAAGTTTTTTTTTTTGAGGTGAAGAAAATGATAGAAGTCAGGTTTTTTTTTTTCTTGCCGCAGTCCGCACCAGTTTTGATCGCGCAGAATGGTGGAGAAGAAGATTTTTTTGTACTTATATTTTGTTAAAAAACGTATTTTGTAAATACGTTTTTAAATCTTTATTATATTAGAAAACGTATTTCCGTTGTACGTTGTTAAAAAACGTATTTCGCAAATACGGTTTTAATTTTTTATTATGGTACAAAACGTATAACGAAAATACGTTTTACTTTAATTTAAATTTTTCCTTAAAAATTAATTAATATTAAAAACCGTATTAATTAAATACGTTTTATAAAACAAAAATTGATTTATTTAGGCTTCAGGGTTTCAAATTAATTTGGGGTTTTCAGAAAAACGTATTTTGTAAATACGGTTTAAAATTAAAATTGGATATACATTTTCGGCAATATGTTTTTTTAAAAAAGTTAACAAATTTAATTTAACGATGTATTCAAGGAATACGTTTTCCACTAAAAATTAAAATTAAGAAAACGTATTTTGTGAATACGTGGTTTTTATTTCGGTCCATTCTTTTTTTTTGTCCACTTATTTTTCAATTTTTTTTAAATAAATCACCCAATAATCTTCACTCTTTTCGTTTTTTATTTTATTTTTTATTTTTTTTCCTTTGACCACATTTTCACTTGATAAATATTATATCCTTTTATATATAATTATCGAATGTTTTGATCCTAATTCGTATGCTTCATAAGCTTATTTGTCATAAACTCGTGTTTCGTATTAACATATGTACATGTTTGATTTTGACTATTTGACTTGAAAATTGTCAAATATTTTACCTTAATTTTCCTTTTTTTTTTTTGTAAATTACCATATTCTACTTTTACATTTTCTTATTTAAATCATATATTAATTATTACAAAATATATATTCTTATTTGTTTTTAAAACATAACTTTCTTAGCTGTATTTTATTTTTTATATATGATATATTAAATTAATCAAAATTTAACAATCTTCGGTTAGACATCCATATTGAATATAAAATAAAAAGTAGTTTTGCCTATATTTATAAATAAAACTAATTTTATTTATAAGTAAATTTAAAATATAAAATCATGATATAACTATTTTAAATAATAATAAAACGTTAATTAATTAATACACCATAAAATAATTATTTTAATGTATTTTTTCATAAATTTTGGATAAAATGTGAAAATAAAGTATTACATGAATAAATTTTATGAAATGTTATAAATATTATTTCTCAGTTGATTATATAAAGAATTGGATGTTATTATGTGGTTAAAATAATAAATATAAAAGAATATCATAATTAAAAATAATAATATAATTTTATATTTCATAAAGTTAGAAAAATAATACATTCATGCATAAATTAATATTCTAAATTAGTGAATATTATGAATTAAAAGTACTTTAAAAAATAATAAATGAGAGGCACTGAATTCATAAATATAAAATATAATTACAATACAATAGAACTCGTTTTGTTTTAGAAAAATTTGAATCAAGTTTATGGAGTTGTATATAAAATAAAATACATGGGGCGGGGTGCCATACATGGTGAATCGATAATAAAATAAATTTTATAAATTAGATGTTAGATTATATTAACATTTTATCATTAAAAGTGAGATCATGCTACATCATATTGTCTGCAATCTGCATACTAACTACATATCCATAAAAGACAGAGGGAGTTGTTTATCATTCTGAAGTGATTCAAAAAATATAAAAATTAACCTCTAAAAGCACATAGTGTTTATTTACCTATAATATTTAATTCTCAACCCGATTAACATATATATAAAACACCAAAAGAATTTTAAGATTTTGACATAAAAGTATGTGTAAAAACAAATGTTATATGTTCAGTGCATTCATTCTATACAAATAAATAAGGATGAAGATACAGTACACAAGTAACAAAAAGTTTGTCTTAACTTTTATAATAGAATGCAATAAGTATTCTTTTGTCGGGATTGTTCATTGTGAATACATACTTTCATCCAATACATATATTTGTATAATGAATTAAGAATCCTTCCGATTGAAAATTGAGTCAATCAATCCAACCATCTTTTTATTCTCTCTCTTAGGAGTCGTGAGTTCTTCGAGTGAAAGTGAATAGTCTTTCAGGTGAAAGTCTAAGGCTTTTGTCTGTCTTTTTGGTCGGCCATGTCTAGGGTCTCGCTACACCCTTTTGATCGCATAGTAGTTTGCCTTCTCTTTATTTAGGTTGTTAGGTTTCTACTTTTTGTTCTTTGCTTTGTGTGATTTCATTTTGCCATGTTTTCTCTTGTGTTTTAGGCTTTTTAAAGTTCTTTATTTACCGCAAGCCATTAGATTTCAAGATGCAAGACGACACCACGCAAATACTCAAAGACTTCTTGTTATCTCATAAGGAAGAAAACATTATTGAGGCGGCAGACATCCGCCTAAGCTCAGAGGAATACCAAAGGAGGTTGTTTGGAAAAGTGATAGAAGATTGGATTACGGCATCAGGAAAAAGATGTCTCAAATTTGGTAGCTGAAGAGTCCAATGGTGGTGCGAGAATTTGAATCTAACTTCTAACAGTTTGTTTTCGACATATTGGGAATATGAAAAATGTGGTTGTAGGGAAAAACTAGACATTTCAAAATCAATATCTCATCTTCAGAGAGTGGCAGGAAGATCGCACTACTAACCATGAAAGCTACACGGAGATGGATATATGTGTCCAAGTAGGAAATGTCCCGCTAAAGTAGCTTTGTGCGGATGTGGGATTTAAGATTAGAAAGGTTTCGACAGACTTAAAGATGCCGCTACTGGGCCAGTGGGTGCTAACTCAGGAAGGGGTATAAAGTGCGCATAATTGATTTCAAGTACAAGAAGCGGGTAAATCTTTGTTATTATTGTGAAGGGAGTTGGTATTTAGACAGAGCGTGTAATGTGAAGATGGAGGACATTAGTAAGGACACTATTAAAGAAGGTCAATTTGATGAGTGGATCAAAGTGGGGGATAACTCATCACAAGTAAGTACATTAAGGTCGAAAATAAACGTCTGAATGCTCTCCGAGCCCCAACGATCAGATGAAAACCCATGTTACCCCTACTGATGAATCTACTATTATGAATACGCATGATGCCAGTGTAAGCCCCATAGTCCTTTGCAGAGCCGGCCCAGGCCCAGGGCGACCTGGGCGACGGCCCAGGGCCCCAACAAAAAAAGGGGCACCAATTTTACACATTACATTATATATAGATATATATGTATTATGAATGGGCCCAACAAAAATAAATATAAGCCCACTGCCCATATCCAGGAGAGAGACCTAAAGCCTACCTAAATTAAATAAAAGCATTTCCGTGCGCGTGGCCTTTCTGCTCCAATTCCAAATGCCATCAGGATTAAAAAATAAAAAAAAAATTAATAAAATCCCCATTCCCCAAATTACTGGCAACAAGAAATCGATATTTCGTCTTCTAACTTTCCAATCTGTCAATTTCCCAACGGCAAACTTCAGGCTTCATGATATTATCTTGGCTCTCATTCCAAAATTCCAATGGTAAGTTACTCAATTTTATAGATTATAAATAGCTTTTTCAATTTTTGATTTTTTATATTCACTATTTAGCTTCAATCTGCTTCAATCAATCCTCATACATCTTGAAAATTGTCAATTTGTTACTTCCAACAATCTTAGAGTTAGAGAGTAAGATATTTTGGGAAAAATTGATCACTTTATTTTGTTATTTTCAGCAAAATATTTTTTTCTACATTTGAATCTTTTATTTTTGGGAAAAAAATTGATCCGAAAATTTGTTAATTTGTTATGTTTACTTCGCCCGGCTCGGCGGCTCGCCATTTGCCACAACTCCACAACCGGGCCTAACGCCATCGCCTTCCGCTGGTGACTGGTCCGCAGTCTCCTCTGCGGCTCTGCCTTCACCGTGGTAATTTTGGGGCATTATTTTATTAATTTGTTAATTTGAGGCATTATTTTTATATTTGGCTCAGGGCCTAATAATTTACAGGACCGGCTATGGTCCTTTGCTCTATACAATAGGGGATAACTTAGAAGGAGGTTCGGGGTGGGGTAATTACATAAACTTAGTGCATGCGAGAGCTAAATCATTTCTTGGGTAGAAGGTGGGAGAATCAGCAAGTCAACATAATAAGGAGAAAGTTCATTTGGAAAAGGAAAACAACCACAAAGAGTAAGCAATGTTGGAACCTACAGAGGAAGCCATGGATGCCAACCCTTGTAAGTACATATATGTTGATACCCAAGTTAAATAAGAAGTATTAAGGCGCTAAATAGACATATTAAAAGTTACATGTGTCGTGCGGGTTGTGTACTAATTTTAAATTGACATATTTTATATAATTTTGCACAATTTAAATTTCATATAACATTTTCAATAAAATAATACAGGTAAATTGTATTAAAAAATTATATAGATCAAAATGCACAAATGTGAAAAGTTACAACCCTTGGCTGAATCGGAACAACCAAAAGCTGAAAAAAATGAGAGGCTGGTCAGAAGACCGACTAGAGCCGATACTAGCAACACTAAAATAAACAGAGCTCCCAAGAGAAGAATAAATAGAAAAACGATCCTAAAGGGATAATAACAGAGGCCAACGGCCCAAACCAAAAAACACGAGACCTAACAAACAAACCAAAGCAAAAGAAAACAAAATAAACTGACTAAATACAACAAAACGAGCCCAGCTAGACTGAACAGAGCCAGAGGATCAGGTCGACCTCAATTGAGTCCCGGAACCAAAAGGACCAACCCCGTAACTGCCAGAAACCAACTCAGTTGCCTAACGGAGTTGAATCCCAGCCCCAGGACATCAACTGAAGCCCGACAACACCACGACTACAACACCCGATTGGCCCTCGAATCGCCACAAGACTGTACCCTCTAACACCACTAGTGAGCCGGACAGCACCCGTTGAACCCCCATAAACTCGGAGCATGAGAATAGGGGGAGAGAGCAGAAGGTGCCAAGACCGAAGCCTCAACCCCTAAACCACCTGAAACTGCCAAGGTTCACCACCCACCACTGCTCCATCCCGACCATCACCACTAGCCTGAAGACGAAGCACCGGTCCTCCCTGACCCAATGCCAGAGTACAGGGGAAAGAAGGTCGAAAACCGCGGCGCAGCTCCGGCCGCCCTACACCAATGCCGTCGAACGACCGAGGCACCACCCACCCAACGAAACGCACCCCGACCACAACCACCACAACCCAGGAAGCCGTCGACTGGAGCTCACAAACCGGCGCCGGAGAGGTGAGACCGTCTTTGAAAGCCAGTAGCATACCCGAGCGAGACGACCGTGGGAGGCGCGATAAACCAGACGAGGGCCAAGCAGCCGAGGGCCGACCGCCATCTCGCGCTCAATTGCTGCAGAGGAGGGGAAAACGACGCAAATCTGAGGCGACGGCGGAGTTAGGCAAGGAAGAAGAATGGGGAATTAGTTTTCACTCTAGAGTTTACTTGGGCAACGATTTCATATTTTTAATTTATAAATATTATTTAATAAATATTTTTAATTTATAAATATTAATAAACTAGTACGACACCTGTACTACACGGTTGCATGAAAAAATAATTTGAACAAGAAAGTAAAAGAATTTTATATTGTAGTATATACAAAATGAATAAATGGAAAACATCTTGTTAGAATATAGTATGAGGTTACAAATTCAATTGAAGATTTTGGAGTGAAGAAATTTGTTACCATATATTCGCCATAAATTTGGAAACATTGTTAACTCAATTATCAAATAAAAGAATATAAAAAAAATTAATGAAGATATGGTGTTAATTAACTCATATCAAATAAAAGAATATAAAAAAATATTTATCAGATAAAATATTGTTAACTCAATTATCAAGTAAAAGAAACATTGTTAATTCGGCATTGATCCACTGTCAAATAAAAGATCTATTGTTAACTCAATTATTAAATTCAATTGATCTTTAAAATGGAAAAATGAAATAAGGAAATAAAGACTTGTGTGATCTTTAAATTCAAAATAATTTTGGTAATGAAAGAGAGATTGATGGAGGCAATGATGTATGGTTAAAAAATTATTTATGGCACTGTAAGCCAATTTTGTTTTCAATTTTTTTAACTCAACTTAATAAAAAACATAATATTGTGACATGTAGGATTCCAAAACGTTCGAGCCTGTCACTTAAGCTCTGCATGTTTTGAATTAATATATAGGAAGGATATCTCTTACTCATGCATTGCACCGAATTCGTACTAATTATGAAGCAATAAATATTAACAAATAGTAATATCTAAATACTATGCATATAGAAAGGGATAATATTAGCCTAATATTTATGTTACCATAGTAAGTATCCTAAAACTTTGATACCCAATCTGTCTACATTTAATGATCAGTGCCTTGAGTTCAAAAACATGTTCCACCTGGTTGGAAACCTCTGTCCCTCTCGGGTTTTTTGTTCCATAGACTGCGGATTCTTTGAATTTCTTCTCTACTCGATCTCTTCCTTGTATCGTGATTAGGGGTTTTTCTTTGTTTTGGTTCCTTTGTTGCAGTCTGTTCTTATCTTTCTGTCTCTCTTTGTTTTTTCTTTGTGCCCTACAGTTTTTCCCAAGTTTGGGGAAAGGCTCACTTAAGATATTATTAAGATTTATTTTCATACGTTTATCGAAGGTGGGTTTAGTGCCCCACCTTCGGTCAATTCATCGAAGTCAATTTTCATTGACTTCTTCTCCTGGTCTTCGACCAGTCTTTTATCGGAGCTTTAGCTCCTGTTCTTCATAGATGGATTTTGAATCCATCTCCTCAATTTGGACTTTGTCCATATTCTTCATTAATATGGAAGGCTAATTTCATAGCCTTCCTTCTTTTCTTTAACTTCTTTCTTGTGTTCCTTTCAGGAACACTTTCTCCAATCTTTATAGTTCTATAAATTGCCAATAAGTCTTTTCCGAAGGGATTTTATCCCTTCTTTTAACTTATTGTCAATTGAAATTCCTTGCTAGGAAGTGGTAATCCTTCCTCCATATAGGTTCCCCTAGAATTGAAATATATTCTTGGGTAGTCCAAGTAAATTTTCTATCAGAATCTTTTGGATAATTTGGAAGTAAACTTGGACCGTTCCTAAAGTTTTATATCCTAAAGACTCGGCAAAGCCCTAAAAGAGCTAAGGAGAAAAACAGATCGCAGCCCCTTGTTCGGGATACCCGCCCGGCCATCCCTCTCTTCGCCTTCTTTGACTTCACAGTCGACCCTTTCTTAACTTCTTCGTTTCCTCTTTTAGGTCCCCTATGATGGCTAACGACCATCTAGGGGAACTTTTTTGTAGGGGGAACTCATTGCATGAGTATTTTTGTTCATATTCTAGTGTGAAGAGGATAAAATAAAGGTCCAAAGGGGAAAGACATGGACATTCGATGGTCAATACTTGTTGCTGAAAGTGTGGAAAAAATGGGAAATGGATTTCTTAGAGGTAAAATTAAAAGTAGAATTTTGGGTGCAGATCCACAACCTACCTCTGCACTGGATATCAACTTAAACTGGTATGAAAGTAGAAAAATTGTTTAGCAAGGTTAATGATGTTATCTCCCCGAGAGTTGGTACAAACAATGGGCGAATAGTGAAGATCTTGGCAAAGGTAAGTGTCACAGAACCACTTCAAAGGGGAACTATGATTAAGCTGGGGTAAGAAGAGTATTGGATAGAGCTCATGTATGAAGACCTCTTTAGGTTGGTTTTATTCTGGAAGATTAGAATACAGTGACCCACATAGTGATATAAAGAAAAGTTATATTTAAAGGAATGTTATGTTAACTAGGCAATAAGGGGAGTGGTTGCGATCCACATCTGGGGTTTAGGAGAGTCTAAAGATAAAAAGTCCTCAAGTTCTAGTAGCCCTAATCAGATGTTTGTCTCTAACTTTTTTCATAAACTAGGGGTAGAGGTAGTGGGCCAAGTAAGGTAGAAAATGCAAGTTCTGGAAAGGAGGGTGAGAGGAAGAGACCACAGGGTCAAGATAAGTCAGAGAGTAGGATTCTAGGTGTGAGTTCTTAGAAACCTGTTAGGATAGTGGAAAAGAAAATTAGTGCAGAAGCATCAGGAGAGTGCAACCTAGTCTAGTGGTTTCCATGGAGATGGACAATAGTAAGAGTCTAGAGGGTGAGAATGCTAATTTAATGGAGGTTGTTGTGCAAAATGCTTTTTCTCAACCAAGTAACCTTCCAAGGAAAAGATCTTTTGTTAGACTCACTAGAAATAAAAACTCTGTTTTACAGGAACAAGGTCTTTTGTAGAGGTTTGGGAGGACCTTCTACAATTTTCTAGTTGAAGAAAAAATTTAAATCCTATCTCCCAGATTTTTTTTTCTTTCAGAAACAAAAAGAAAAAAAGCATTTGTTCTTGAGGTAGTTAATAATGAATTCAGTCTGGAAGTTAAATTTAATTTTAAAGGGAATGCTGAGGTGTTTTGTGTATGTCAGTGTGGTCCGTGTTGAGAGACATAATCAGTGGTAGATGTTAATAGGCCCCAGCTGAGATGGGGAGACTTGTGGTTCATAGGTGGAGATTTTACTGACATCCTCAGTAATGAGGAGAAGAGAGGAGGATTGGTGAGAGGTGTGTCTAGCTTTTTGGACATTAGAAAGTTCATCTATAATCTGGGGTAATGGAGTGTCATAATGTGGGGTACCCATTTACCTTGTCTAACCTGAGAGCAGGCAATGAGTTTGTGGAAAAGAGACTAGACAGAGTTTGTGTCTACCCAAAGTGGCTTCTCCATTTCTCTAATTCCCATGGTCAAAACATTTCTTTAGCTTCATCATATCATAGCATGTTGCTGTTTGAGATTGCCAAAGTTTGTGATGATTACAGAAGGAGGTTTGTGTTTGATAATATATGGGCAAGGATGGAAGGGTACCAGGAGTGTATCAAAAAACCTTGGGATGTCAGGATTCAAGGACCTGCTCTTTACGATTTCTAGAAAAAACTGAGGAGTGTTAGATTGGGGCTTCTGGGATGGGCTGCCAGGCAAAAATCCAATAGCAAATTGATCAAAGTTTGTAATGCCAGGCTTGAATGGTTAGGAAGGCAATGGGGTATGAGGGATTGGGAAGAATGGGCTTAGTGTAAGACAGTTTTACATAAAGCATACAAGGAGGAAGAGCTTTATTGGAAGTAGAAAGCTAGAGTAAGATGGCCGAGGGAAGGAGATAAAAACACCAATTTTTTCCAAGCTTGTGTTAGACAAAGGAGTGGGTTTGGGTGCTAGATTTTTATTGAGAAATGTGCTGTCTATTGATATATGGGATTCCCCTTGGATCCCAAATGTTCCAAATTTTAAACCAGTTTGTATGTTTCCATAAGATAGGCTCAGATTGCACAAGGTAGTTGATCTCATGCTTATAAGACAAAAGGAGTGGGACAGAGAGTTGATTTGTCAAACCTTCCCTCCGGTGGTGGAAGAAAACATATGTACTCAAGATACATATCGGCAAAGTAGGGAGGAAGGACAGATTGGTGAATCAATTCAAAGACAGAAAATGGAGAGTGGTAGCAAAGGGGAGAGTAGTGCAGGGAGAAGCTACCAGAAAAAGCTGTGGAAAAATACTAGGGGTTTGCCAATCAAAACAAAGGTCAAAAACTTTATTTGGAGGTGTTACCACAATTTCCTAGAAAATTTAGTGCAAAGGGGAGTGAGGGTGGATAGAATCTGTAGGTGGTGTGGTGAGGATAGGGAGGATTTAGAGCATCTCATGTTTACTTGCCAGAGATCCAAAATAGTCTGGAAAATAGCTGGGTTAGAAAGGGATAGGCTTCGAAGAGGGGGATGAGCTTTCAGAGATGGTGGGAGGAGATTTGCACTTTAAGTATTAAAAATTGTGGCAAAGATAGAATCTCTTTATCTACCTATATTTTGTGGTGGATGTGGAAGACCCGGAATGGTTGTCTTTTCAATGTGGAGTGGTGTACTGAGAGAATGCTAGTGATCAGAGCCTACTAGGAATGGAAGGATTATAAAGTTAGCAACATCAGTAGTTCTACAAGAGAGGTGCAACAGCTTCAGTCAGAAAGGGTTCTAGTTATTGAAGGGGTACAAGGAGTAAGGGGCATGGTGGTGCTTTCAGCTAGCCTTAAGTGACGGGACCAGAGTAAAGGGTAGGGCTTTTGTTGATCAAGTGGCAGTGCACTAGTGGGTGGTGACACAAACTTCACAGTTGGCCTCATAAGAAGAAGAGGTTATTCAAATGAGGGAATGGCTACTCAAAGACAAACACAGCAGCTGGCAGAAGGCCTTTATCCAGATTGAAAATGAGCTTTTAAGGAAAAACTAAATGAACAGGCTTCGATTCTGATCTGGCAGTGGTGGCTGAAGACATTTTCATTTTGTTGTCTTCTGTGTCGATATCTCTTTTCAGAGGAAATAAAAGAAGCTCGTGTGGTTGTTTGTTGCCGCATGTTGATGTTTGTTTGGTTGTTTTTCTTGTTTTATTATGTGGAGTTTTTTTCTCTTTTTCTCTTTGTTGTGTATGGCCACCTTGGTGTTGGAGGGGAGCTGTATGGAGCTCCCCGAATTCACGCTCTTTGGTTACTTTGTTTTAGCCGAAGAGTGGGGACTTATAACCTATTGGTTATGGGCATGGGCATGTACATTTCGAGTTTTCTTTTATTTAAATTTGATATTTGAGTAAAAAAAAAATCCGTCTACATTTAACTTTTCTGGACCTAGTAATTATTGAAATATTGCCATTATTTACGGCTCAAAATGGCCCGACTACATAATGGGGAATTATATCGACAATAGGGCAATAATCAATAAAAAAGATAGTTAAACTCTATAATTTTCTTAACATGTTCGGTAATTATTATGATCATATTTACTTCAATTATTCTCAGAAATTTGTGGCAACGAAATGATTCGTCTCACTATCTTACTCATTATTGCAATTACATTTGTACTGTGACAATTTCTTGACAGTAAATCATTGATACATGCTTGGACACATGATATAATTATGATGAAACTAAATCATTAACAGGTGTTACTATATAGTAGTATCTGTCATCACTGAAAGTAAGATTTAAATGATAAAAAACAAAAGTAAGCATTGCACAACAATATATATCATGTATGCATTAAATGAATACTGCAGCGTGCTGCAGACTATTTCGTAAGAAATAAATAGATCAAATTTCGTGAATAGCAATAGACCCGAAAGAGCATGAAATAATGCAGTCCTCCTGACAGAATTCTCTAATCTCTATTATCAAAATATAGATAAATTAGTCATCAATTCAATTGGACTTAAAAGATTAAATAATTCACACATACAATAAGTAAGCCAATTACATAAAAGTAACCAAATTTACCTGGAGAAAATTCTTGGGTAAGAGTAAAATAGATGAGAAATTAAAATGTGTTTGATTTTCAATCATGGCGTCAATTGAAAAGTAGATGAAATAAAGTTCCACTGGTTGGATTTTTCTCTTTCTAGAGTTACAGAGTTCCACTAGTTGGAGTTTCAGTTTGTGCTCATTTTCACTGCTTTCAGTCTCTTTTGTTTTAGTTCTTTCTTTTCGTGGTCTTGTGTTCTCTGTCCTGTGAGTCTCCCCGTCTTGTGTTGATGTGTCCATCTTGTGATTGATCTAGAGTTAGGGTTCCGTGGCCATTAATGTAATGCATATTTACTTGTGATTTTTATTGGGCTAGGGTTTGTTAGTCTAACCCTTGATTCCCTGTTATAACCCTTTCTGTTTCAGGTATCTCATCTAAGCACTGTTGGTCTCGCATCCCAATCAGTTAGGGTTTGGTTCATTGACCCATCCGGGGTTAGAGTTGCAATGGAAGAGGAAATAGCGGCCAAATTCTGTAAATTCCAACTGTCAGACAGGGAAAAAGTAGGGATTAAGCTTGCAGATAAAGATGTTGAGAGTGGGTTGAAGGATTGCAGCCTCAGTCTCATGGGCAAACTATTTAGGGAAAAACGAGTCAATTTGGGGGGGTTGAAAACAACCTTTAACTCTCTCTGGAGAACCAAAAAGCCGTTCACAGTCAGATCTTTAGGAGATAACTTACTTCAATTTCTATTTCAAACAGAGGAGGACAAAAGAAGAATCCTAGAAGGAAAGTCTTGGAATTTTGATGGGCAGTACCTCTTGTTGAAAGAATGGAGTATTGGAAACAACGACTTTAGTAAAGAAGAGTGCAAGGTAGATATCTGGGTCCAAGTTCATAACCTACCATTGCACTGGTTATCGGTGGAGATAGGGCTGAAAATTGGGGGGGTATTTGCTGAAGTGAAAGACATTCTGACACCAGGAACGGGCAACAATGCTGGCAATGTTCTTAAGATCCTGGTTCAATTGGATCTCAATGAAGCACTGCCAAGAGGAACCACAGTGCAACTGGGTAAGGAAGTAGTGTGGGTGGACTTCAGGTATGAGCACTTACAAAACTTTTGTTTCTATTGTGGATTTGTGGGGCATGGAGACAGGAGTTGTGGAAAGAAAAAAGAAGACCTCAAGGGCAATGTGCTTAATCTGGGACAATATGGTGAGTGGCTAAGAGCCTCTGGGGGCTATTCCTTTCAGTCTAGAAGCTTTAACTCTAGCCCTGTTAGTGATAATGTGGAGGTGGGAGTTAATAGGGATTGTAATGCGATGGGGGTAGTTATGATTAGCTTAGAGGAAGGCCAGGGAAGTGGGGTAGGGTTGCATAGTAAGAGGACTGAGAATCTAGATCCTCCAAATGCTGGAGGTTCTAAGGCTGATGTCCATGACAATATTAATGGTCTTCAAAATTTAACTAAGAGTCTACCTCTTCTTCCTTCTCCTGAGCCTTTGTGTGACCAGGTTAGTGTTGCTCCCCTTACTCAAGAGGACCAACTTAATCTGGTGGATGTACCCATTAATTCCCAGGCTATCTCAGGAAGGAAAAAGAGAGGTGCTAAGTCCTTTGTCAGACAGACTAGGTCTGCTAAGCCTAATCTCACTGAGGACATGGCTATTGACATTGGCCTTAGCACTTCAGGACCTATCTTTAATGATAATAAAAAGAGAGCTTTAATTGTTTCTGATTTGGAAAAGAGTTCTAATGATGTTTGCAAAAAGAAAAAAGTGGAGTGTTCTGGGAAACTTATTGATCATAAGATGGAGGAAACCAGCCATAACTGGTCCCAAGGTGATCAATGAAAGTTTCGGTGTGGAATTGTAGAGGTCTGGGAGGGCCCTCTACAATTTCCCAGCTCAAGGAGACCATAAGGTCCCATCTCCCAGATTTTGGTTTTGTTTCTGAAACTAAAAAAAAAAAAAAGTTTTGTTTCCACTGTTTGTAGAAATTTGAAGTTTGCTGATAGATGGGTCTATGTTGAACCCAATGGAAGTAGAGGAGGTATGCTCCTGTTTTGGTCTGATAGAGTGGTTATTGTAGACATTGAATGCCACTATTTTTGCATTGAAGTGTGTTTTCAGTTTGGGGATAACCCTGTGTAACGCCCCGTTTTATTTTAAAGAATTTATCGAATTTATTTGATAAAAATCAGAGTTTTTTTTATTTATTTATAATAATCCAAGTTAAAACCTTTATCGAGAAACGGGCGCTACTTACTAACAACAACAAACAACACACATCCAACAATTCAAGGAAACTACACATGCTCGAGCTAACGATAAAACAAATCCCAAAAACATAAGTCTCAAACCATTTCAAAAGGTCTAGCATTATTCAAGGTTCATCCAACTTAAACATAGTTCGAAAAGTGAAAGCAGTAAACAAATAATCCAAGCGCAATAGCAAATAAATAAACATTCAGTTTATACGGAAGCATAGGTTTCAACACATATGACCACCATCTCGCTCGTCCTACGCCACCGCCTCCAGCTCGTCTCAACCTAAACAAAGGAATAGAGAAACCAACAAGAAAATAATGGGGGTGAGCAACCAACTAGCTCACCATTATCGCACAGCTATTCCGTATAATTATTTTAAAAGTAGTATCACGGTAAAACAGTTCCAGTATCGGTATGCACAGAATTCCTAGCCTAAACCCCCTACCCAGCCCTATCGCAAACCTCCTATGTACATACAACAACCTTCCGGATACAACGGCATGGCTATAACTGGAAACATTCCCACCCCCGGGTACAACGGTTCGCAGGATCCTTTCCAGGAGACAGCAGAGATGTTCTTCCCCTTCCGGATACGACGACATGGGGCGTCCCTCCCGGATACAACGGGCAGGCGACCTCCTACTGTTTTCGCATTCATCAAGGCACTAGCGTTCGGGACACTTAGACTAGAGTTCTCATGCATACAAAATTTTCAAAAGAAACATTACACGAAATAAGGAGTGCGATAAATATGGAATACATCATAAATGTACCCACCTGATAGCAGCAACAGTTCACAGAATCACAAATCCAGAAATAAGGCAAGGTCCACACCTCTAAACACCTACATGATGTCAAGATCCTACAATCAGAATCTATCTCGACTTAAATCGGAAATCACAAGACAGACCTAGTCGAACTCGTTTCGACTAAGTAGTTCGTGAAGTCCTGTGGATGTTGGAACACTAAGACTCGGCTCTAAACTCGACCAAACAACATAAGGGAGTTTACACAAATCCATCTAAGGATTGACCAAGTCAACTCACATAAAAAAAACGAAAGGCAAGTTGATTCCCAAAATTGCATATAAAAATCATGTTCGGAAATAAAAATCATTTAATCGCATGAAAATAGATGGTCAAGCTACCCTACAAGTTAAGCTCTGAAAATTTACACAAACTTTCATCTCCCAGAAACATGTAAAACCACAAAGTTTCAGCTTTAAACTCGAATACCCTATTTTATAAAATTCGAACAAGATATCAACAAAATAGGCACATTAACTCATACTCAGACTTAATGAATGAATCTGATCTTGAAAATTTTACACAAGAACATACAGTATGCCAAAGTCCACTTGTAAAAATCTCAGCCTTAAATGATAACTGCTGCTATTTTAAAAAATTCAAACGAGCAACAGCAGTTTATCGAATTTAAACCCAAACTGAATCAAAACGGACTCCAAAAATTCTCATATTTTACAAACATAATTAAACACACAAAATAGGCTTCTCAGTAAAATTTCAGAATTTTCCAAGAGGTAACCAATTTATAAAAATTCAAACAACGTTTCTGCAGATTCGATAAATAAAATATTTACCACAACAAATCAACTCCAAAAATTTTAAAAATTTAACGCAACGCATATAAGTCACAGAGGCATCACATATTAGAATTTCAGCTCATTCCATTCAAGCATGAATATTTTATGCATTTAACATTATTCTGATCAGATTACACTTTAATTATTAAAAATAGCTACAGGCCTCTAAAAATTACGAATTTTTTACACAATGCAGGCAATGAACAGATAACATATCCCTCAAAATTTCAAATCGTTTTGAGCAGCGAGATATTTTTAAAAATTCGAACACTGAAACAGCGATTCACAAGCTCGACAACTTGGCAAATAAATCACAACATAAAATTTCTCGTCCAAGGCCTTTTCATAAGACCAAGGGCTCGACATTGTTCCAATATCAACCGACTTACACGACTTTCAAGGTCTCGTTCAATTCTTGAGAAAATCGAAGAGGTCCCGAACATACGAACACATAAAATAGCGAATATAAATACACAACGAACAATTCGAACAAGCATATAACAATTCAACGAACACGAAATACACACATGATCACGACACAATTCACGTAAAATTAAAACGAGAAGTCGAGACTCGATACCGTTCTCGGGAAACAAACGAGAAGGTTCGAACGAGAGAAGACGGCTCGACGGGGCTCGACGGGGCTCGACGGCTTCGCGCGGCTCGCTGAGAAGAGAGCTGCGGTGGTCCTTCACGATTGCGGGGTTGCAGCGCTAGCCGAGACGTCCCGTCGGAGGTGATGCTGCGGAGGAGAAGGGCTCGCCGGGAAAGGGGTTTGCCGGGAGTGGTCGCGACGGCTTGCAGGTGCGGCAGCGGCTTGTCGGGGTGAAGTTGCAGCGACGGGGCTCACGAACAGAGAGGAGTTACGTCGTCGGGGCGCTGCTCGCGGAGGAAGAGGTCGCCGGAGGTCTGGTCACAGCGGCGCGAGGAGGAGGAGGAGCGGCTCACGACTGAGTTGCTGCAACGGAGGAGCTTGCAGGTGGTGAGAGTGGCGTCGCTGCTCGAGTTGGAAGAAACTCGCCGGAAAAACTTCGTAGAGAAGCAGGTCACCGGGAAAAGCTTCGTCGCGAGAAAGGGCCGCTACAGAAGTTGTGCGCTGGGAGGAGGACCACCGGAGTTCACTTGATCGCGGACAGAGGTTCACGGCGTGGGGCGGCTAGCGGCAACTTCTTGCTACTCGCGACGTGATTAGGGTCGCCGGAGGGTTGCAGACGGAGGAAGGAGGCGGATTAGCTGCTGCGATGGTGACGAGCGATGGAATTTCTGCGCGAGGAAGATGAGAGGAGCGAGGAAAAAGGGGGGTGATGGTCGGAGAGATAAAGCGAGGAGGGTGATGGGCTGAGAGATCAATTTGCAGAGAGAGAGAGATGACGGGGTCGGGAGATCAGATTTAAGAAAATCACAAAGCTGCGTGATGTTTTAGAGAGGGAGAAATAGATACAACACATAAATATACATAGGCTATGCTAGGTTTTTATTTCCTGATTTCCAAGCAAAAATTAACACGCTCACGATTTGGAGAGAACCGGATTTGGGCCGGACTTTGGCTCGCGGCCCGGTCGATTGGGCTGGTTCGCGACAACGAATTCGGCTCACGGGCCGGTTCGCAAAATAAATCGGCTCACGGGCTCAATTTCGGTTCAAATGAATATTCTCGGGCTCGATAAAATCGCACGTTAATATATTCGGCTCTCAGGCCCAATTCAATCACACGAAAAATAAATCCATCTCTCGGGCTCGGGTTCTCCGATTACTAATTTGACAGCTCAAATCGATTGCACGGCAAATAACAAAACTCCGGACAATATAAATTAAATACGTACATTATTTTAAAATACTAATATTATAAATCAAAATATACAATTAGCAATTAATTGACAATTAGACATATAATATCTAGGCATTCAATTTGGCAAGCAATAATTAATAATATTACAATAATAATAAACATCCATAATAATAATAATAATAATGGGGGGGATTTCAATGATTTGTGTTCTAATGATGAGAAGCAGGGAGGTAGAATCAGGGATGAGGCTAGATTTGATAATTTTAAAGGGTTTATTAGGGATATGGGTATGGTGGAGCCTAAGTTTGTTGGTCACCCATTCACTTGGTCCAACCTTAGGCAGGGTGAGGAGTTTGTAGAAGAAAGGCTGGATAGGTTTTTCATGTCCCCAGACTGGTTCACTGATAGCCCTCAAGTTTTGGTTAAGCACATCCCCTTGGTGTCTTCTGATCATCATCTGATTCTGCTATGCTTAGAGGATGACAAGGGCAGGTTAAAAGAGAGATTTATATTTGATCAGAGATGGGCCCAAATGGAAGGATTTAAGGAAACTGTCAATAAGGCTTGGAACGAGAGAGTGGAGGGGGCTGAGTTATACAGTATGCAAAGCAGGATTAGGAATGTTAGGCTTGCCTTACTAGGTTGGAAGAAGCTCAATGTTACCAATTCTGCCCACAATATCCAGCAGTGCAAAAACAAGTTAGAGCATATGGGAAAGTTGGGTGGAAGCAGAGATTGGGAAGAATGGAGAGCCTGCAAAAATTCCCTTCATGAGGCTTACAAGGAAGAAGAGTTATACTGGAGACAAAAGTCCAGAATTTTGTGGCTGAAGGCTGGTGACAAAAATTC